CCAAAAATAATATATATATATATATATATATAATTTATATGTATACATAAATATATACTAGTATTTTGCAAAATACATTCAATATGGTTTCACACTATTACCTTGTTTTCTCAGAGTCTAGTTCATTTCCTTGAAGTTTCCTGTAAATGGGGTCAAAAATGCTTTCTTTAAGAACTAAGAGGTTTAAATGACACTGCAAACGTAATAATTGAAGGAGAGTATCACTGACTTAAATAAGACAGCAACAAAATTTCAAAGAATTTAGAAGAAACCAAGATTTTTCCTTTTAGTCAAGTCAGGGTGACCTATAGACTCTTTAAAAGAATAAAATTCTGGGAGAGCTGGACAATACCTTTAACAGTAGTGAAAAACTGACAAATCTTAGGTATACTTTAAAAATTCTTATTTTATTACCACTGTGGGGGGGCGTATGTGTGTGCCATATGTGGAAGACAACTTTATGGAGCTGGTTCTCCCCATCTACTTTTATGAGGTCGACAGAGATTAAACTTAGATTATTAGTCTTTATCTGTTTAGTCATCTTGCTAAACCAAAGCTTAAATGTAGATAAGATAAAACTGCTTTTGTATAAGCAATTGATTTAAAAAAAAAAAAATGTCAGCTGAGTGGTAGAGTACTTGCTTAGCATGTGCAAGCCCAGGTTTTTGACCCCCAGCACTGCCAAGAGAAAGGAAGGAAGGGGCCAGGTGTGGTAGGGCATGCTTTTAATCCCTACTGGGGAGGCAGAGGCAGATGGGGCTCTGTGAGGTCTTGTCTCAAAAGGTCTCTGTTAGGTCTTATCTTAAAAGGTCTCTGTGAGGTCTCTGTGAGACCTTGTCTCAAAAAAATGAAGAGAAAAGGAAGGAAGGGAGAAAACGGTAGAGGTGGAGGGAGGGAGGAAACAAAAAGGATGCTTTTGCTGGCTGCAGGAAACTCAGTATTGGGTTTGCTATTTTTCTTTTGTAGACATATCCTACTTCAAAAAAAAGACAAACATGTCACAGGTAAACTATTTCCAGAGATGTTCTAAAAGCCAGTTAGAAGGAGTATGCTAACTCTGGACTTGAATTATCTGTTAATAATTCATGGGAAAAGTTAATATGGTACTAATCATATTTTAAGGAATAGATGTCAGTCAATGCATTTAATTGCCAAGCCTTACTTTACCTTATTTACATACTACTCCCCCACACACACATACTTTTATTACATTGATGTGTGTGTGTGTGTGTGTGTGCACATGCATGACATAGCACATGTGTGGAGGTCAGTGGACAACTTCTGGGAGTTGGCTCGCTCCTTCCATCGTGTGGGTCACGGGATTGAACTTAGGTCTTCAGACATGTGGCATGTGACTTTACCCACTGAACCATCTCACTGGACCCCCTTTTTACTTTTTGATAAAGGGTCTCACCATGTAGCTCAAGCTGGCCTTGAATTCACTAAAAAGCACAGGTTGAGCTGGAATTTACAATCCTCCTGCCCCTGACTGCCAAGTGCTGGCATTATAAGCATGTATCACCAAGCCTGGTTTTGTATCAAAAACAAAACCACATATATTTGGCTTTAATATAATGGACGTTTTAGTTTGTTTTGAGTCCAGGTCTCACACTGTAGGTGGCCTGAAACTCACAGCAATCCTCCTGCCTGAGCCTCTCAAGTTCTGGGGTTACATATGTGTGTCAACAGGCCTGGCTCACACATTCTCTTTTTTTTTCTTTCTTTCTTTCTTTGAGACAGGATCTCACCATGTAATTCTGCTGGCCTGGAACTTGATATACAGACCAGGCTGGCTTTAAACTCACAGAGATCTACCTGCCTCTGCCTCTCAGTGGGACTAAAAGCATGCACCATCAAACTCAATGTCAAAGATCCTTTTTCATTGGTAAAGTAGTTTCTTCATGAACTGTGGCATCAATATCTACTTCTATAATAATGATAATGTCGCATGGGCAGGGCTGATGGAATCTGCATGCTTGATTTCAAATCCAGACTTTTTTCAAGGTGTGTAGCCTTGGACAATTTACCTCAGTGAGCCATTCCTATTTGTAAAATGGATATAATAGTTAAAACTACCTCAAAGAGTATAAACATACGCAGTTTTTCTCTATATGCCTGGCACTAAGCACACACTATGTTTTCTGTTTGTGCACATATTTAACTCACTCCTTTAAGAAAGAGATGCTTTGCTGGGTGTGGTGGTGCATGCCTGTAGTTCCAGCACTTGGGAGGCAGAGGCAGGCAAATCTCTATGAGTTCAAGGCCAGCCAGGTCTACATAGTGAATTCCAGGCCAGCTGGGGCTACAGGGAAACCCTGTTTCAAAAAGACCAAAAAAAAAAAAAATGCTTAATTACTATACAATGGCCTAAAACTCCCACTTACCATAAATACAAAACTATAAAACTGTAGAAGGGGATCAAAGATCACCCAGGGCAAACCAGGTATGGCAGTATATACCTGTAATCCCAGTACTCATGAGGCTGAGACAGGAAGATCATAAGTTCAAAGCTAGCCTGGGCTACACAGTGAAATCCTATCTCAAAAACAGGGATATAGTTCAGTGGCAGAGCTTCTGCCTCACACTTGCAAAGGCTTAGATTCAGTCCCCAGCACGGAAAAATAAGCTACAGATTGAACTACAGGGGGACAAGGATATAAGGTGACCTGTCCAAAGTCACACTCATATCTGGGGGCAGATGCAACATAAGAATTTATGCTTTTTAATAACATAGAATTTACAATGCCTTCTGATAACTGGTTCTAGAGTTAGCTTCCACCTCAATATAGGTGATTTCTCATGACAATACTTATCAGATTTGTCTACGCATACCTTTTAATCTAAAACAAGTTTATAGATAACTGGCACCTAAAATGCTATTATTATTTTGTTTTGTGTGCGTGTGCATGGCAGGGTCATACTATGTATCCCTGGCTGGCCTAGAACTCATAGCAATCGTCTTGCCTCCGCCTCCCAAGTACTGGGATTACAGGCCCATCTTAAAAAGCCTTTGTAAAAGACTAAGCATAGTAGTTCACTCTTGTAGTCCCAGCTACTCAGGAGGCAGAGGTAGGAGGGTTGTGTGAGCCCAGGAATTCAAGAACTTCCAGGGCAACATAGTGAGACCCTGTCTCAAAAAGAAGCTTTGTCATTCCGTTTATTATTATTGGATTGGTTTTATTCTACTACTAGCATGAAGTTTCTTAGGGGCAGGAACTATACCTTATTCCTGTCTGTATTATCTCAAGTCAAGTATGATGCACTTAGTAGGCATTTGTCTATATCTTCACTTAAAAATCATAAAGGTGAGGAATCAGCTAAGACGAAGAAAAATGCATGCCTTTTGATTACTATTTTTAGGTTAACCATTAACGTTAAGAGGCCTAGGAACCTGAAAAACAGAGTATCAGTTATTCAAACAGTCATCCTAGTCATGAGTACTCCTCCTTCTACAAGCCTTAAACATCCTAGATAGGAGCAAGATGGTCATAATGCCAAGTCAAGAGGCTCCAAACTTAGGCAATTTCTTTTACAGTAAATTGCAGCTATAAATGAGGAAGTGAAAAGCAGCAGCAGTGTTCACTGTCAGATGTTCAACTTCCTTAAAAAACCAGTGGAGGAAGAACTAAATCAGAGAAAACTCATGAAATGTTTCCTATTTGTAAACTTGTTTGATTCAATTTTCCTAGCTATTGCTTGAAAGAAAAAATTATCTGTAAAACTTTTCTTGAGCTCCAGGCCCTCTTTGTTAAGTCTTTTATCATCAACTTTTGTCTGTTTTCTCTCCTAAAAGCATGATCACGTGCCTAAAGTGTCTCACATCCTTAATAAGCCTGCTCAGGAAAGCAGACTATTTGAGACTTATCTTGGGCCAGGAATCCAGAGAAGAGCACATGACTGTCATATCTAGCTTGTAATTACTAGACAGCAGCATAATGCTTAATGCATTGGGAGCCTTCACATTTCCATATACACAGACTTTCCTTGAATACCCATAGTGAAGAATGTGAATTTAAAGTATACCTTGGATATATTCAAAAGGCCCAATATGCAGACACACACAAAACAGGTTTGTATGGGGGAAAAAAAGATTCATAAATTTAAAAGGCTGAAAACATAGCCAACAGCAGAGGCTGTAAATGTTTTGAGTGAAACAGGGAAGAAAGTAAACAATGTCCAATTTAATTCTAAAATAATGGTGCAACTGAAAGAACTCAAATTGGAGCTAAGTGGATGTAGGCATTCTAAAGTAGGGATGGGGTAGCAAGGTGGTGAAGAGTAAAAAGAATTAAGGTTATGTAATACAGAGATACTCTGGATGTCAAAAGATCCTAGTTAAGCCAGGCATAGTGGTGCATACCTTTAATCCTAGCACTATGGAAGCAGAGGCAGGCTGTCTGTGATATCAAAGCCAGCCTGGCCTACATAGTGAGTTCCAGGCCAGCCAGGGCTATATAGTGAGATCCTGTATAAAGAAAAAAAAATACTATTTAAGACCAAGAAAGAGGAGAGATGATTCAGTGGGCAAACTGTTTGCTGTGCTGAGTTCAGATACTCAGCACCAATATAAAAAGCCAGGTCTGGTGAAGGGTCAATCCCAGGCATCTTGCTGGCCAGCCAATCTAGAAAAAATGGCAAGTTCCAGGTTCAGTGAGACCCTATCTCAAAAAATAAGGTGGAGGACTATCAAGGAAGACACCTGACATCGGACCTCTGCTCTCCACACAGGTACACACACACGCACACCCTACACACACAAATAAAAAGGATCAAAAGAAAGCCAGTCATTTTATGGTCACCCATGTATTCAACTTTCCAAAAGACTGAAAGCTTAATCATTTTTGTAAACTCTTAGCATCTGATATAATAATGTGATGGGCACGTTGATGTACTTGTCATTTCTTCAATACCTTTTTTACTATGTAAAAAAAAATTTGTAAAGCAGATATTCAATATTCAAGGAAAGGCTCTGCAAAGATTTGAGCTTTGCAGCTAACAAGTTTGGAGTCAAGGTGTTCACTGACACAAGGGAAAACGCTAAACTAATTACTGAAAGAGGCAAAGAAAATGTCTTGCCTCCGGTTGAAGACTTCTACCCCAGGCTGGTATATATGATGTTTGAGAGCAGAAAGTAAGGACTGCAGTCTCTTCCCTTGGTTTTAAAACTCCGGGCTTACAAGTGCAATTTCACAGGTGAATACCAGGGTATGTGCCAGGTACTGTTTGGAACATGAGACAGAAATGAACAAGATAAACAGTTCTATCGGGGCTGTTTATTCTGCTTGGGGCTGTGGGAGAAGGGAATCACTAAAAAGTTAACATCCGAGGAAGGCTTTGAAGGATGCTGGAGCTGACCCACCCGGTCCTGGTTCTAAAGTGCCACAGCCTTGTTCACCGAGAGGAGAAAGTCTCATATTTACAGCTCATGTATTTATAAAGGCTGACTCCTATAAAACCTCCGAGGCAGGCAGTCTCGTCAGCAATTATCCCCATTTCACTGGAGAAACTGTGCTTCATAGAGCAAAAGGCAGATCTCGGGTCATACGGCGGGTCAAGGAAGATATTTGGTCCAGAAAGTCTGAGCCCAGGACTGGACCCGGAAGTTGGGGAGAGGCCCGAGAAAAGACCGACCACTCCGACCACCCGCCGGTCGCTCAGCCCCGCGCTCCGGCCCATATTTATCAGTCACTCACCCGCCGCTGGGCGAAAGGAAGTCGGTGTCGTCCTCGTCCCCGGCCCCGAACATCGTATGGGCTTTTCGCCGGCTGAGGGGGAGGATGTCGGAGGTTCCCAGGTCCTGTCACCACCGATGTCGTAAAATGCTGCGTTGGTGAGCTGCTTTCCGGCAGGACAAACTCATTCACGGTTGAGGGGCCCAGAGGGAACCATGCTATGGAGAAGTAGGTGGAGCAAAGGGTGAGCGCCTCGTGACGTCAGGCCTCTCCAGCCCTCCAAGGGGGTGGAGTTCCCAGGTTCTGAGCGAGGATTGGTCAGAGAACTCAGGGGGCGGGTCCTGGGCGGGAATCGGCGGCCTCTGCTGCATTCGTGGGACACGTCAAGCCGGGCGGTGCTGGCGGGGGCTTGTGCGGAGTCCTGAAGGGTGAGGGGATCAGGTTCCGAGAGGAAGACGCCGGTGGCGGGGCTAGACCCGGGAAGGTAAGGCCACCTCGCTCCTTCCCTAACCCTGGCGTGTTCTCTGTTCTCTCCCTCCCCCGGTCGAGGACCCCCCGCAGTGCTCTTCGCTGCTAGGCGGAAGGAAAAATGGCCAGTGACTGGAAATCTGAGGACTCGAGCCGCGTCGTGGCCTGGCCCTTACGGTGACATGGCTGGAGTGACCTTAGGCAGCGTGCTCGGTGCCTCAGTTTCCCCATCTATGCGACGGGGCAGTGTGTCCGGTGTCTCCATGTGCGGTTTGCCAAGGTTTTAGACCTCAGAGGTCATCAAGTCCAAGCCCGGTCTCTTCATAATCTCAGAATTTGCAGGCTACAAAACGTAAGAGCTAAAACACTTTGGCGACTAGTCTGAGGTCACTTAGAGTAAAGGGCAGACCTGGTATTTTGGATCGGGGGTTAGAGAGCTGATGAATGAGGAGAACTTTCCTAGCCTCCTAGAGTTATTGCTAGACTGTGGCATTCAGCTTGGGGAAGGACCCCTTTCTGCAGTCCTAGCAGGTGAGGTTCAGAAGCGCTGGGCTATTCGAGAGGGTGGATAATGGAGGGGACTTTGGAGGCAGAAAACCTCAGCCCAGCCTTGCTTGGCCAGGGGTTTTGCTGCCACCGTCCTAAGTCAACAGGAGTTGTCGCCGACTTCTCTGCCTCTAGTTTCCACCCTCTCTGTGTCTTACTTGTGCATTTCTTTGGTATCATCTGGTATCATCTTTGGAACAATCTTGAGCCAGACCTCGCTTCACCATGGTAGTGTGTCCCACCCAGTGTAGAGTCCATTTCCACAGATCTCACTGGAGTTAGTTCTTTAACGTTGTTTTCCTCTCAGTCTGGTTGGTCCTACAGGTGGTCCCTTACCTGAACACTTTATTCTGTTAGGATGACATTGAAGGGACTGATAGCTCCCTCCCAGAGAACTTTGTACCTCTTAGCACTTCCCCTGTTGGGCTTTTTATTAGTTTTTGAACTACTAAGCTGTAAGACTTCTTGCCCACAATGGGTTCTCATTAATTTTTTTTATTAGATTGAATAATAGAATTTATCCTTGTTCCCGTATTCCTTAATTTAGTCTCAAGGTTTTTGTGTTTTTTAACCCCCTGTGTGACCCAGAGAGCCCAGTGATGGCTCTTGCCTTTTATAGGTAGCTTCCAGAAAGTTAAAAAATGCTGTACTGGCTGTGAACTGTCTGGGTTGCTTGGTCTATTTTGTTAATTGAAGGTGACTGTACTATTATCTACAACTCTGGGGAGGGTGAAGCGGGAATAGGGTAGCTAGAAATAACTATTATGTTACTTATAATTTTTGTAAGTAAATGATTCCTCTGTTTATCTGAGAATAAAACTGTTGCTCTGCTTCCTGTGTTACTTTACAGATTAAGATGGGTAAAGCAATGATATAACAGGTATCTAAGCCCTAGAACTGGAGCCTGTAGCAGTAGTTCTGTTTAGATAATGATCTTGGGTACCTCTCAGGGGGAAAGCCAATTAGATAAATTATAATTCCTTCCCAGTACTCAGCACTCCAGCACTGAAACATTTGAGTGACACTTTTTATTTACTTTAAAAATGATAATAACAACAAGGGATCATTTGAGTTCTTTTCTTACATTCTTGGGTAGAGGTGTTTTTCTCCTGGGTGTTTAAAATGACCTTTTTATGGTATTCTGTAATCCTGAAATTGGCCTGTATGGTGATTGGGACACCATAGGCATGCATACTGATCTTGAATTTCATTGGCAGCATGAGGAAGAGAAAGGTGGTAGTGTGTCTTCCTCAGTCTTTCAAGCTTCGAACTGGAAATGTAGGATTGAGTGCACCTGAAAAGCCACTGTCTTCCTGATGACTATCTTCTCCTTGGTACTCTTGGAGTGGTAATCAGGAAATTTGAACTCCAATCCCAGACCTTCTAACTCACTCTGAGCTTGGGCCAGGTTCCTTAAACACCTTGAAAAAGGAATGGATGAGATGTAGACACATCTGCTGAATACTGGGATACAAAAGTGAGTCCTAAATACAACCCTGTTCTCAGGTTGAATTTTTGTTTATTTCTTTCAGTTAGCCATACATCTCTAATGATATATTTATAAATTATGTTGATCTCCTGAAAATTAACTAGGAAACAGCAAATTTAATAATTCAAGTTATCAGTAATTTTGCATAAAAGATGACCATTTTATATATAAGTGCATCCATTTGTACTGGTAGTATAGAGATATGATTGGATATAGTTTGAAGAAATTTCTATAGTTTTCATTCACTCAGTAACTAAAAGCAGAAAAATATTATACTACAATTCAAGAAATATCTCCTGAAAGTCTACTGTGGATCATGCTGGGGTTTGTGTAGGTAGAAAATGAACCCTATAAAAAGAAATTATTGTAGAATTTCAAAGGAGGAAGAGATCTTATCTAGTTTGGAGGAGATTAGAGATTACATAATGGGTTTTGAGGATGGGTAGGATTCCAAAAGAAAGCTAGGATGTTAGATTTCCCAGGTTGAAGGGGCGGGACAGCTCTGGTGGTTTTGTTTGTTGGGTTTTTGTTTGGGCTTTTTTGTAAACCTAAGGCCTTTGCTTTTTCTTGGAGTGTGGTTCTCAGACCTGCAAACTGCTGGCATATCTTATCTCAGTTTAGGTGTTTGTTTTTATAAAGTTTTATTGAATGCAGCCATCCTCATGTATTTACATATATCTATGACTACTTTCATCATACAAGGCAAAGTAGTTGCAGCAGAGACCATAGGACCCACAGTGTCTTGACCCTGTAGAGAAAGTTTATCTACCTCTGACCTCAATATATATAGATTCATATATATATATATATATGAAGTCTTAAAAGTCACTTGCAAAGTAGCCTGACTACATAATTTTTCTAGGTGTTTATGAAATTTCATGCCAGCCTTTAGAGTTGACTCTCTCACACCTAATAGCAGATTATGGGCATCTGCGTGACTCACTTTTATTTAGTCTGTTCAAAGCATTTGACTTGATTTTCATAGAAGTACCAGACCAGCTATGTAGACTAGTAGTCAACTCTGGGGTCAGATTTCTTCACTAATTACTGGTATAGGATTTAGGCAAGTTGCTGGGCTTCTTCCTTTGTAAAATAGAAGTGATAATCTTATTCATTTCCTAGAATTCTTGTGGAGGTTGTATGAGTCAATTCACATAAAGCACTAAGAACGTTACCTGGTAGATAGTTAGTACTCAATTAATGTTAGTGTAACCCATCTGGAAGGGATAAAGTTTTGTTTTGCTTTGTTTTTGTTTTTTTTAATTTTATTTATTATTTTTTATTTTATGTGTATACATGTATTGCCTGCATGTAGGTAAGTGCACCCATGTCATACAATGCCCACGGAGGTCAGAAGAGGCTGTCGGATCCCCTGGGACTGGAGTTACCACAGTTGTTAGCTGCCATATGGGTGCTGGGATTAGAACCCAGGTCTTCTGCAAGAACAACCAGTGTTCTTAACCACTGATCCATCTCTCCAGCCCCTTATTTCTTTTCTTTTTTTTTTTTTTCTTTGAGACAGTGTTTCACTATATATCCCTAGCTGGATGCCATATAGACCAGGCTGGCCTAGAACTCATGGAGATCACTTGCCTCTACCTCCCAAATTGCTGGGAATAAAGGTATGCTCTACCATACCCACCCTCGTCAATGAAGATATTTGAGATGCTTTTGTCCCTCAGTTTGGTTATTTGATTATTTAAAACAATGGACCCTAAGAAACTGGGAATCTCATGCTGGGACAAGAAAAAGCCTAAAGCCTTGCCAGCCTCTCTTTTGGAAAGAGATTGACTACTGGTTAGACCCCCTAACAGGAGAGACAATGGTAGGCAGGACCAGTCCCTGATTGGGACTGCTTAGATAGACATAACATTGGCCCTGTACTTAAACCTTAACCTTACCTCACCTAGAAGGTGGACTTGGGGGTGCCGGGTATCACTGGATCTCTTTGACCCTCTTCTCATAGTAGCCACATGGAATAATATTTTTTTGTCAGTTAAGATGTTTAAGAGAATTCTTTAGGGTAGTTTTCTTGTCTTTTTGGTTGTGAGCCTGAGGCTTTAACGGCCAGCTCTCCAGCCCTAGGATAGTTTTCTAAGAATTTAAACTAGTAATATAAGCTGGACATGGTAGTACACACCTTTAGTCCCAGCACTCAGAAGGCAGAGGCAGGTGGATCTCTGTGAGTTTAAGGCCAACCTGATCTGCATAGCGAGTTCCAGGCCAGCTGGGGCTACAGGAAGACCCTGTCTCAAAAAGAGAAGAAAAAAAAAAGTAATATACACAGAAATAAAATTAAATATTAAGGAACCCAGCGATATTCAGCAGATTCCTTGAAGGTCCAGATGACAAGTTTGCACTTAGATCAGTAGGAAATGGATTTTTTTTTAACCTCTAAATGGCATAATTAACATTTAAAGATTCAAATAGTTTAGTAGTATATAAAGTAAAAGTTTTTCTTGCTCTATTCTGTGTGCATAACCCCTTCATTTCTTCTAGTAATCCCTAGAAACTACAGCACTGGTACTAATCTTTAATTTAAAAAATTAAACTTAAAGCCAGTTTCCTTTTGAGTTGAGGGAAACAAAGGTTCCATCCAGACTGTAAATAAAATGAAATGACTGTTGTGAAGGTAATAATTAAATAAAAAGGCTCCGATCCTTAGCTGGAATGGTTGCATATGCCAGTAATCCTAGTACTGGGGAGGTAGAGGTGGGAGGAGTTCAAGATCAGACAGGGCTACATAGATAAACTTGTTTTTTTAAAAAGTCTCTGCTTAACTCTCTTTCTCTCCCTCTTGTTTCTAACTTGGCTCTACCGTTGATTCTTCTTTGTACCAGAAATGCTATGAGGGGAAAGATGACACAGTTAGCACTAGAAAACCAAATGTTTGTAGGTAAATTACTCTGCCTTTTAAAGTTGGCAAGGCTAGCCTGATTGGGGGAAGGGGAGCTAAAGCAGGAGGAAGTTGCTTATGCCTCTCTCCCATAAGCTCATAGCACAACAATGCCATTTTCAAAACTCACAGGTCTCCTGTAGTTTGTGACTAGATATGACAAGTCATCAAAAGTCTTATATTTTATACATTACAATGTGCTGTTTGTGTCACACAAAAAAATCTTATGATAGGTACTGGAGAGAAAATGCTTTTGAAGTTTCGTTGCTTTGAGTAATACCATTTCATAATGTAGGTAAAATCCCCCAGTAGAGGAGGGGCCCATCCTTAGGAATGCAAAGCCCTGCTGAGAAGGAAAGGGTTGAGAAGGGTCCACCCTACCTCTTCCTTTACACAAAAGCCCTAGAGTTTGTATACAACCTGCTTTTGTAGTCTGAGAACATGCACTACAGCAGAATGAGGTGGAAGCCTGTCTCTTAAATGTAAATGTGAGAAATGGTTTGGAAAGAATATAAGGAGAGCAAAACTCTAGCAACCAGTGATGTGCTAGTGGCGCTTTTTTTTTTTTAACCAGGTTGAATCTTTCCCTACATATACTTGCTATAGGACCGTGATGAATGTTTATAGTTTTGAAGCAGTGCAGAACACCTAGAATGTAATAATCATTCTGTTTATAAATGTAGGAAGCATGCTATAACTACATTTTCCCAGTCTCCACTCCTTTCCCCTACATTGTCAGTTAACTTTTTATCAGCTCCCATATAGCCTTATGCATTATCTGTAACATGTATCGCAGACTGCATTGTAATTAATTCCGTTTCTCTCTATTCTTCCATACTTCACATGGGCTTCATCATGGTGCCTTTGTTCAATGCATATGTATGAAGTAACTGGATGGATGGATGGATGGATGGATGGATGGATGGATGGATGGATGAATGAGTGAGTGAGTCCCTCAGGATAACATAGCCCTCTTTTGGAAACAGGGTCTTCATTATACTCTCAAGAGAACCACCAGTTAAAGTTGTGCACCACCTCCTCCAGCAGTTCCTATTATATAATGTATTTAATTGCAGTTTCCTACCAAATAAAAAGAACAATTTAGCTGTTTTGTAATGTCTGCTTCATACCATATTAATTCTAGGAAAATCAACAACATTATAGCTTGTACAGATGAAATCATATGTAACTAAATAAAAGCTTAAATATAAAAGACTTTGGATTGTAGCAAGTATAGTCTGCCTTTGATTGAAGTAAGCAAGTAGTTAAAAAAAATGCTTTGCCAATGTATGTAACGGAGTACTTAGTGTTCTTTAAATCAAGTGATAAAAAGTTAAATGTATTCTTTGGGAAGTGGAGGCAGGAAGATCAGGAATTCAGGGTCATCCTTGGCTACATAGTAAACTTGAGGCCAGGCTGAGCTAGATGAGCCCCCAAAAAGGGAGAGGGACCATATACTTTAAGAGACATAAATGACTTGCATGTCAACTTTTACATTTTTTTTCCAAGAAATGAACTAGTAAGATATGGTTACTAATATTCTAAAAAAGAAATTTTAGCAAGCCCCTCCTCAACATACACTCTGAAAAATATCCATATTGTATTATGTAAGATGTTCATAAGAAAGGACTGGGGCTCATGGGAACTCCATAATTTCCTTGTAACTTTTCTAAAAGGTCAATAAAATATAAACTTAAAAAAATTTTAATTACATTTTATTTTGTATGCAGGTATGAGTATTGTGATGCATGTGCATGGAGGTCACAGGACAAGTCGGTGGAGTCAGTTCTCCTTCAACTTTTACGTGGCTTGTGGGAATTGAAATGTTGATCCAAAAGCATAACTCTCACCTCAAAGGGGATAAGAGATAATATATTCTGGAGCCAAATATGAGTGACTGTAGCCCAGGAACACAGACTCAGGTTACCCCAAATTCTGTGTTCCAGCATGATAGTATTTCGTTACGTTTTTATAGTAACAGAACAAAGAAAACTCATAAGTCAAGACACTTTTCAAATACATTGAAAAATACATTATGTATTTTTCAGTAGGCAGGTCACAGCAGGTGGTGGGAGTTTCTACTATAGGTCTCAGATACTATCTGATGACATTCTTAGTGTTTCGATTGGTGGGACCTTGTAGTCTACTAAGTTAATACATTTTATTAGTCACAAGAATGTTAATTCAGAAACAGAGGTAGGCAAGGTGTGGCTATTTATGGGGTTAAAAATGTCCCCAGATAATTTGTGAATAGACAACAACATTCCTAACTCTCCACAGCCAATTAAGTGTTAATCAGTTGGTCAGCCTTGCAGGAAATTCGGCTCAGGATGCAGAAGTTCTTTCTGGGAACTTTCACACAACTCAGGTTTCCAGGTCTGCTCAGCAAGCACCTTTACCCTCTGAGCCATCTCACCAGCCATGGGTAATTTGCTTAATGTCACATGACCAATATGTGGCAACCTTGCTCAATCTCTGAAGCATAATGCAAAACTTGGCTCCACTTATACTATCCATAAAACATTCTGAAATCTTCATAAATCATACTTAAAGTAGTTAGAGCAGCCTGAAAATGCATCCAGACTACAACAGAACTAGTAAGGAGAGTAAGAAAGCTTTATTCTAGGATATGACTTAGCCAGCACCAAAAGGTAAAGAAATGGAGTACAGTATCCAGGAGATCCACTCCTCAGTGGACTTAGGCCCTTCTGCCATTGCATAACTAAAGGACCTTTTCAGTCTGTTTGTTTGTTTGACATAATCAAATTTGAGTTGTGCTATTAGGGCCAGGCAAATAAAAGCTTTTCTAAAGACCTTTGTGAGAATGAAGTTCTTTACTTGATCTTCTTTGTACAGAAAGGTGAGGGTGAACAAAAGAAATAAGAGCTTCTATATTATTTGCCACCAAAACAGGATATGTGAAGCTCAGAAACCCCTCCTGCTTAGCTACTTCCCAGCAAACCATCTGGAGGAATGAGAGGGCTGAGTGTTATAGAGCCTCATTTCAGAAACAGACGTTCAGGTATGTTCTTTATCTAGTAATGTGTGCCTTGGTTTCCCCATCTATTAAGAGGGATTGGACCTGATCATTTAGTTTTTAAAATTATGGGGCTGGAGAGATGGCTCAAAGGTTAAGAGCACAGACTGCTCTTGCAGAGGACCTAGGTTCGATTCCCAGCACCCACATGGCAGCTAACAACTATCCATAACTCCAGTTCTAGGGGATCCGACAGACTCTTCTGTTGTCCGCCGACATGTGCACGACATGGGTACACTTACCTACATGCAGGCAATGCACACATAAAATAAAAATAATAAAATATTTTTAAAAAATATTTTAGGTTGGTGATATTGACATGTCATTAATCCCAGCACTCAAGAGACAAAGGCAGGTAGATATCAGTGAGATCAAGGCCAGCCTGGTATACATAGCGAGTTCCAGGCTAGCTGGGACTACAGGGAGACCCTGTCTCAAAAAGACTAGAAAAAAAAATAACAAAACCAAAAATATTTTAGAGCCAGAGAGATGGCTCAGAGGGTAAAGTGCTTGCTGCCAAGCTTGCCCACTGAGTTCCAGACCCACGTAATGGAGAGAACCAACTCCTCCAAGTTGTTCTCTGAGCCTCACACACAAGCTATGGCACATGGGCTTGTACTCCCCCCTCCCCCACACAAATAAATGTAATAAAACCATTAAAGATATTTTAATTTGGGCTTAATTATGAGGGTGAAGAGAAAAAGAAGAACTCAGAAAACAATCCCAAGTTGGGGTACGTGCTTCCCAAAGAAGAGTAGTGAAGTTAAGATGGACCTAAGTAGGTATGGGCTTCTCCAAGAGACTAAGCAACTAATTGTCTTAGCATTAGCTGTATCTATTGTTTTGGTGACTCTTGAGTTACATCTCAAAAGGTTGTTAAGAAACTTTTTTCTCATTTACTATGTGAAATAAATAGGTGGCTCTGGAGACTCCTTGGGTGGAATTACAAGCTGATAAAATAAAACCAGGGGCCACTGGGGTTTCACCAAGGGTTTAGTACATGTCCTTTTCCTGTAAATGGGGCTTCTCTTAAGATTCCTGGCAAATTGCAAGTGTATGGTGGGAAAGGGAGAAAGGCCATGAGCATTGTTAATTGTGCTAGAATTCTTGCTCCTATAGGCTTTAACCAGATCCCTGGGTGAGGGGCTCCTCACTCTCTTCTATGACCCTGGGAGTTTCCCTGCCTTTCTAGCCTGTCTCAACTTCACTGAAGATGTATGGAATTGCAGACACCTGTGTCAAGAGTCCTATCTATAAAAGTTTCTAATGCTTTTCAGTGTGTAACTTCAGTGTGTAACTTACAAAGTGGAGATACAAACTTAGAAAAAGAGACTGTGTCCTATTCATTTACCAGTTAAAGGATTTGGAAAATAAACTTTGTATTGTAATCCACTTAGGGAGCAAAATTAAAAGATGAAAAAAAGCAAGACTATGTCTATGTGTTTTTACCCACCTCTCAGATGTTTTAATGATTATGACTAATTATATGCTTTAATGATTATGACTATAATTATATGATGACTTTGAAGTGTGTGATAACATCACAATCACCTGTCTTTCTGAGAAGCTGGGGCCCATAAATCAGGTCAGAAGTGTCATCCCCTCATACCTTCTTTTTTCTTTTTTTTTTTGAGACAGTCTCCTTAGCCCTGGCTGGCCTCAAAATCCTTATGTAGCTGAGGATGACCTTGAACATTTGATACTCCTGCTTCTATCTCTGGAGTCCCCCCCCATACCTTCTTAACCGTAAACTCTAACCTTCCCTCCTTTTCTCACTTCCTTCCTTCTCCTGTTAGGTTTTGAAGGCATTTTTGAAATTTACTGTTGTGTTATTGCAACTTTAAGCTAGAGCCTCCTGTCCTTTTTATCTTTGAATTCCCTGTGCCCTTGGGACAAAGGGAACTTAGTAAAGTGATTCAGCCTCCACGACCCTCGAAGGTTCCTGTCCTTCCTTTTCTCTGCACAACTGGCACATCTTTCAACTAATCCCTTTGCATACTCAAAGGAAAGACAAGAAACCATATTTCTTCAGTATTAGGCTTCCAGGAAAAATTACTGCTGGAAAATTGAAGCCTCACTGGGCTTCTTTCTACTTAGTGGGCCAATCTATAAAAGACTCACAAACTTTAAAAAAACTAGCCATGAAAAGAGTTTCCTTTGTTATGATTTCAACAGTACCAGAGGGCGTTATCATTTGGCTTAGAACTGTTCCCAATCTTAAGAAACTAGAATGTGAAAAAGATAAAATGGACAAAAAAGGTATTATATATGTATATATACTGTATATACCATAGTATATAGTATAATTACATTTCCATTTCAAGCTGTCATTTTGAACCTTTTCCTTCCCCAAATCCTAGTGAAATTTTCATAAAAATGTATGAAATCTGGGCCTGGTGACACATGCCTTTACTCCCAGCATTCCCGAGGCAGAGGCAGGGGATCTCTGAGTTCCAGGCCAGCCTGGTCTTCATAATGAGTTCCAGGCCTACATAGTGAGACCCTGTCCCCGAAACAAAACAACAGCAATAAAAATAAAAATATATTAAAAAGAAACAGTGATAAGAAAAAACATTTATACTCAGAAAACAGACAGAAGCTAGGACCTTTAAAATATGTCAAGGAAGGTTAGGTGCAGGCAGGAATGGGGAAAGTGACTGAGCACATGATCAACATAGATGAAGGGCATCCTGCCTGTGAAAACTGAGTAGCACTCTCCTGGAACCCCCAAACTGAGAAAGGCAAGATTAGAAAGAAGGGTTGGCTGTGGGATAGTCAGGTGGGGGCCAATCAGAGGATTTGGGAATTGTGTCTAGCATTTAGAACAGTAGATTAAAGAAATCTCAGCAGGTAAAAGGTGCTTGCCTAAAACCTGATGACCTGAGTTTGATCCCTGGGATTCCCTGGAAGAAGAGAACCAACTCCTGCAAGATTCAGGTGAACTTGAATTTATGATCCTCCTTCTTCTATCTCTGGAGTCCTGGGATTACATGCCTACACAAATGCAATAAATAAAAATGTAATTTTAATAAAAGTTAAAAAGAAGCAATAATTTTTAATGTTTATTGAGGACTTACTGTGTTTGGACATTGCTTAAGTGTTTAAATTTGCTTTGTCTTGATGTAAGTGTTGTTATCTCTCTTCTATTTGTTTGTTTGTCTGTTTTCTGAACCTGGATCTCATTCTTAAGCCCTGGCATGGCCTGAAACATTTTGTCACCCATGTTGGCCTGGAACTTGCAGCAACCCTCCAGGTTCAGCCTCCTGAGTGCTGGCTCAGATTACAACCATAATCCACCACACCCGGCTTTGTCATCCTTCTTTTAGGAGAAATTAATCTGTCCTTTAAATTTATGACATTGAACTCCTAATAACTTCTTAAAACAATATTCTGAGATAAGTATCTTTTATTAAGGCACAAAGGTATTAAGTAATTTGCCCAAGAGCCCACAAGTAAAATTTTACCCATTAGAGAGTGAATGTGGCTCCTTTCTTTGGGATTTGCCATAACAGAGAAGGAAAACTGTCTTTTCTACACATAGCTTCCTTGTTTCCAAAATTGGAAAGTACATCATTTGGGGACATTGAGATGATAGCCTGAGTTTAATCCATAGAACTCAAAGTGGAAGGAGAGAACAGACTCCCCAGGGTTGTCCTCTGACCTCCACATGCATATAAGTACGTGTATTCACATATCATATATACACAATAATAATGAATAAAATTTAAAAAATTTTAAACTCCCCCCATCTAGACTTACAGATTTTATTCACATTGTGGGAAAGGGAAAAAAAGAAAAAAAAAACACACTTTGATTCTCAAAGATGACCAATTAAATACTGAATTCATGGTTAAGTGTTCAAATCTAGATTCTATGTATTCTCCCATTATCTGTAGGAAATATGTCCCAGCACCCAAGTAAAATTTAAAAAATTTTAAACTCCCCCCATCTAGACTTACAGATTTTATTCACATTGTGGGAAAGGGAAAAAAAGAAAAAAAAAACACACTTTGATTCTCAAAGATGACCAATTAAATACTGAATTCATGGTTAAGTGTTCAAATCTAGATTCTATGTATTCTCCCATTATCTGTAGGAAATATGTCCCAGCACCCAAGTGGATACTGAAACTCCAGATAATACCAAGCCCTATATATGTGTGTGTGTGTGTGTGTGTGTGTGTGTGTGTGTAATCACATATATATGTACATACATATATATACTGGCAATAATGTTATATAAAACTGAGCAATTTAATAATAAGTAATAATGATAAACAATAAAATTAAACAATTATACTATATGTAATTAAAGTTATGTGAATATGGGCAGTCTTTCTCGAAAGAATTTTTTTTATTTTATTTCATTTGTGTGTGCATGTGTTATACACATATGGAGCTCAGAGGACAGCTTGAGGGAGTCCATTCTCTCCTACCACGTGGGCCCTGGGAATCAAATTCAGATTGTTAAGCTTGGCATCAGGTGCCCTTACTTGCAAAGCCATTTCACTACTCCATCCAAAGAATATCTTAATGTATTATATTCATCTCTCAAACCATGGAAAACAAAACGGAATAAGGGAGGTTTGTATTATCTTTGTAGTATCATTTATTTAATTTCTTTTTCTTTTCTTTTTTTTTTTTTTTTTTTTTTTTTATTTTTTTGAGACAAGGTCTTACCAGGGTAGACCAGACTTGGGCTACTATGTAGCCCAAGCTGGCTTGAAATTCACAATCCTCCTTTCATAGTTATCCAAGTGCCAGAATTACAGGTATTCACCACTCCCAGCTCCATAATTTTTCTTTTCAGCAACATTGTTGCTAAGTCTGATCCAAGCAGTTCTTGGACTATGCTTGGAGGCACACCTGAATTAGAAAGAAAGTAATTAGCGTTTATTATTTACTGTGCATGTTATTAAGGTGCCAGATGCTTTCATATGTATATTTACATTTGATATTTATAATATTGTGATGTTATTACCCAAGTTTCATGTGTTTATATTGTTCTCACAGAGTTTTAATAACGTTCTGAGTTCCAAAGATGGCAGGGCCCTTCAGTCAGCAGTCTGACTCCAGAAACAGGGAAGGCTCTTGCTGTTTCTACTTTAACAACATGCTTCTCAGAGATTATTGGTGAACTGGAAGGTGCTAGATGATCTGAAGTGTGTTTGATAAGTAAATGTTAAAGCTCCTGAAAGGTCACATGTCTAAAGCAGATCCACTAGTATTCAGAGTGCATTTAGAAAGACATGTTTGCTTCATTGGAAATTGTTACACATATCTGAACTTTTTTAACTGAATGGGTTCTAAAGATAAATTATTCCATCCCTTGACTAAGGAAACTGTGACTGGAAAGCTTAAGTTACCTAATGTGTATGTTTTCTATTGCCTTTAAAGCAGGGCATTAAAAACTGGAATTAAGGGCTGGGCATGGTAGCATGCCCTTAATTCCACTCAGGAAGCAGAGGCAGGCAGATCTCTGTGAGATGGAGGCCAGCCTGGTCTACATAGTGAGCTCCAGGCCAGCTGGGGCTACAGAAAGACCCTATCTCAAAGAGAGATGACTCAGTGGTTAAAAGCAGTGGCTGCTCTTGCAGAGGACCTGGGTTCAATTCCCAGCACCCACATAGTGGCTAACAACCGTGCATAACTCCAATTCTGGGTATTCGACACCCTCTTCTGACCTCCATATACTCCTACACATGAAATAATAAAATATTTTTTTTTAATTAGAATTACATAACTAGTCACTGATGTCTTGAGAGGAGATATGAGTGAAAACTGACGTTCTATATCACTGATGGGAACACCATGGTATAATATAGATTGTGTAATCCAGTGAAAAATTGTCAAGCACTTGCTGTATCTTGTATTCTGCTGCCTATGTTCCTCCTGGAGCTTATTCTACCTACTGTTTGTTTGTTTGTTTCTTTGTTTCTTTGTTTGTTTGTTTGGCTAGCATGTATCAATTTTAAGTTGCTTGTCCAAGTGCTATTGAAATCGGTACAACCTCTGTGCATGGTACTTATTCAACCCTAAAGACTGGACTGACAGATAGTATCACCTAGAGCTAGAAATGAACAGAGCCAGGATTTGAATACTCTCTGGCTCCAAATTCTTAACAGTAGTCTTGTAAGTTTAACTAAGCTGCAAAGGGTGACATATGACTTAAGAAACTCTTACAGTAAGGAATACATTTATTTGGTTTTGTTCCTCAAACCAAATTATGACCCAGAAACTAAATGGGTTTTCATTCTTTTAAAGTTTTAACAGATATCTTTCTAGATTCTGGCAAATTTAGCAGTTACAGCCCATGGCTCTGTAAGGATTTCTTTCCTTCTATAAATTTGCCTCCCAGAAGAACATAAACAGAAAATACTATTAAGAACAAATAAAGACTAGTTATCTACACAGTAGTCAGTATACTCATACATTACTAAAACATAAAGCTGATTGTGCAACTACCTGCTTAGTAGCCTTAAATAGCTCTCAATTACCCTTGAAATATAATTTAGACTCCTTACTAATAACCTATAAGGCCTTCAACTGACACTCTTCAAGTCTCTTCATGACCTCTGTCTTTGAGAACAACTGCTTCAATTAACCTCTTCTCCCTGAATATATTCTACTGAACTTGAATGCTTTCACTGAACTCTAATAATTCAGCAGTGTTTAAATGCTACCTTAGCCGGGCATGGTGGCGCATGCCTTTAGTCCCAGCACTTGGGAGGCAGAGGTAGGTGGATCTTTGTTATTTCAAAGCCAGCCTGGTCTACATGAGAGTTCCAGAGCTGGGGCTACAGGAAGACCCGTTCTTAAACACACACACACACACACACACACACACACACACACACGTACACAAAATGCTATCTTAAGAGGACATTGATGTTTCTTCCTACCTGCCCCATTCCATCTAGTTTTATTCTTTCATGGCTCTTCTCTCTTCTACCATACAGTTGTTTATT